GGGTTTCTGATTTCGTGCAGATGGTAGCTTGAAAAACATGAATGCATTTTTTTGACGGAGGAAGGGAGGTCTCGATTCCCCTCTCCGTTGTAAAATGCAACGGGGGAGTGGAAAAGGGTCCGGGGCTTCCGCCCGAAGCGCTGAAGACTTGAGCTTTTTGGAGTTGGCACTCTGTCGTTTTTTCGAGAATTCTTTTTAACTTCATTTTTGATTATTTTTAAGATATAATTGACCGTTTTCTTTACTTTTTTCGGCTTTCCACGGGTGGGGGAGCATGGCAAGCCGCCTATGAGCTCCAAAATTCGGCCTGGAACCTCCGGGAATTGTGGGCTAAGCTCCATAAACTGACAAAGTCACCCAGAAATGTCACTTTAATAGCCCAAAAATATATAATACAAATACATTTAAATATTAAAAGGTATAATTGTGCTCCTAATTACCCGGAATGTGATTTATATAACCCCATGGTAGTGAATAAAAATCATTTTCATGGAAAAAAGTGTTAAAATGCCTTATTAATATGTTTGTAATGCTGGCAGCAGGTTCACTGCTGTAAGCAGGGTCTCACACTCACACGCACACAGGCAGAGATCCAGGGTGATGCACATGGCTTTGTTACCCAGGAATAAGTGTGTGAAAGCTGGGTAAAAGTGATGTGAACAGAGGGAGAGAGCAGCCAGAGAGTTAGCGGCCTGTGAGAGCCACAGAGCGCACCCAGAGGACAGGCTGTTTCACAGCACTATGTAACCCAGGAAAGCAGCTTGAATCGTGGGTATGTCAGTGGTAAAAGTGCCTTAAACTGGTTTAATTCCAATGGGCATTTCACAGGCACATAGGCAGAGATCCAGGGTGATATACATGGCTTTCTTACCCAGGAATAAGTGTGTGAAAGCTGGGTAAAAGTGATGTGAACAGAGGGAGAGAGCAGTCAAGGCAAGGCAACTTTATTTAAATAGCACTTTTCAACACAAGGCAATTCAAAGTGCTTTACAAAAAATGAAAGACATTAAGAAAATGGCATTTAAAATCAGTCATTAAAAAAAAAATACATGGATAAAAGTTATAGTGCAGTCTAAGATATGAATAGTTCAATTAAAAGCAGCGACAAAAATAAAAGTCTTCTTGCTGGATTTGAAAGTAGTCCACGAGTTGCAGCGGACCTGCAGGTTTCTGGGAGTTTGTTCCAGATATTTGGAGCATAATAACTGAACGCTGCTTCTCCATGTTTAGTTCTGACTCTGGGGACAGAAAGCTGACCAGTCCCTGAAGACCTGAGAGATCTGGATGGTTCATAATTTAGCAGGAGGTCAGAAATGTATTTTGGGCCTAAACCATTCAGTGCTTTATAAACCAGCAGCAGTATTTTGAAATCTATTCTTTGACACACAGGAAGCCAGTGTAAAGACTTCAGAACTGGAGTGATGTGATCCACTTTCTTAGTGTCAGTGAGGACTCGAGCAGCAGCGTTCTGAATCAGCTGCAGCTTCCTAATAGATGTTTCAGTGAGACCTGTGAAGACACCATTGCAGTAGTCGAGTCTACTGAAGATAAAAGCATGGACAAGTTTTTCCAAATCCTGCTGTGACATTAGTCTTTTAATCCTAGATATGTTCTTTAGGTGATAGTAGGCTGATTTAGTAACTGTTTTAATGTGACTGTTGAAACTCAGGTCAGAGTCCATGAGTTAGCCAGAGAGTTAGCGGCCTGTGAGAGCCACAGAGAGGCTGTTTCACAGCACTATGTAACCCAGGAAAGCAGCTTGAATCGTGGGTATGTCAGTGTTAAAAGTGCCTTAAAATGGTTTAATTCAAATGCGCATTTGACTGCATAAACAGCCGGTCATATGGACAGGAATCTGTCCATTTCGTCAACATTTGACTCATGAAATGTACAAGAAGATAAGTACAGCAGAGTCAATGCTGTTAGCAGGGTCTCACACTTACAGTCACACTGGCAGAGATCCAGGGTGATGCACATGGCTTTCCTACCCAGGAATAAGTGTTTGAAAGGTGGGGAAAGTGTTCCTGCAGCCCCCCCATAACGGTAATAATGATTAGAAATCATTTCCAGGGCAGAAAGCTGTTTTTAAAAGTGAAAAAACTATTTTAAACCGTTGAAAAAGCACAAAGTGATTTGAGTGCAGTTCTCATGTGTCCCCACAGGAGGGCGCATCAGCCAACCTATTTGTAGCCCCTCACAGAGCCCCAAAGGACGGACTAAGCAGCTCCAGCATGTCTCCCTAACATGGGCAAACAGGCTATGTCAGACTTCCATGAAATAGACCGGGAAAACCACCTATTTGTAGCCCCTCACAGAGCCCCAAAGGACGGACTAAGCAGCTCCAGCATGTCTCCCTGACATGGGCAAACAGGCTATGTCAGACTTCCATGAAATAGACCGGGAAAACCACCTATTTGTAGCCCCTCACAGAGCCCCAAAGGACGGACTAAGCAGCTCCAGCATGTCTCCCTAACATGCATACTTCCATAACCTCGCACACCGTGAGACCCCGGGCCCCCGGACTTAAGCACTCCCCCACGGACTAAACCCAGATGATCAGACCCTACAGAACCTCATGCCCCTGGTAACCCCAAAAGGGGGGTGGATTTTGCGGTGCTTTACCGTCTGCCCATCTGCATCCATATTCGTCCTTCTTCACCGCAACACCACCCACCCTCCTGTGGAGGATGTTCTCATGCCCCTGGTAACACTTAAAGGTGGTGGATTTTGTGGTGCTTTAAAGAAACACTCAGCCATGCATGAAATAACATAAAAAAATAATACGGAATGTTTGACCCATGTTGTGCCTTAGAAGTGTAGTGATACAAACATTATTTTTATACAAAAAGTAATAAAGGGAAAAATAAAAATTAGAATTGGTGTTGATCCAAAACAGGTTAATTGAGGAATACCTGGAATCCTGAATGGTTAAAGTAATTTATTGCAAAGATATTTACAATTAAAACTAATTCGGGTCACTTTTGACACATGTTGGTTGTATGTTGTGTAACAAAGGGTTAACATGACAGCTGTGATGTTCACTCTTTTGACCAGTGGACAGTGAGGACTATGGAAGAGAAGATGTGATGGCTTTGTGTGGAAAGCTGCTGACGCCAGCCTGTGTCCCTCATCAGTCTCTCCAGGCAGCACCCAGCTATTCTTCCATTTTGCAGATGGAAAGACTTTGATATGTGAGTAATAACTAACTTGTGTCTAACATAATATTGAATGTGGTTTAGTAAAGTATTTAAAAATACCGTTAGTTTGTCTGCAATGTCAGTATAGGATTTTAAAAAAAAGAAAGAAAGTCATAGTACAGTTTGTCTAAAAGATCTTGAAAAAAATCATGACACTGTGTGTGGAAATGGTTTTGAATAAACACATCACGTCAAATTGTATCAAGTGCATCAGACAACTCCAATTGCTCCATTTGAACCATATTATAAATAAGAAAATAATGGTAATAGTATATAGCAGGGCTGTTTAATACTGCATTTAGAAATCACAAACTTGTCTTTTGGAGTCACAGTCTTTAAGAAAATACGTGCTGCCGGTGTAGGCCTCTCACGTCTTTGTACTCGGCTCTCTCCCCACACGATGACTGAGTCAATCTTTGTAGCCGGAGTTTCCTCCCTGCTCTCCTCTGTAGAGATCCCCGGCTGGTTAACGATCGGTAGCACTAAGGCGTCCTCCGGTCGGGGGCTGAGCTCGATGCGCTCTTCTGCTCGGCTTGACAGGGCTGGATATAATGACGGAGCAGGCCTCGTAGCCCTTGCCTCAATTTCAACCCCCGGCAGGTCGGTGAGAAAATCTGGTTCCTCAGGTGTTAAATCGTAGTCCCCTTCCCTCACTGTGGACATAAATACGTTTTACACCGTTAAATTAATCTACCATTTAACTTTTTTTATTTTTGTTTTTAATGGTTTAAAAACTACTTACATTCGGTAGAGTTTTGATCAGCAGATCTTCGGGGAAAAAGACTTCTCCGAGCGTGCTCTCTCTACCGCGACATGAATGTATATATATATATATATATATCATTGACCGATCGTGACCTAGTAAGATATTAACAGGGTCACATCAAACGGCCTATCAGCCGCTATGGGGCAACATTTTGCACAAACAAGTCATAAAAGATAAGGGGGGTTCAAGGGTGATCTAGTAAAAATATGAACAGGGTCACATCAAAGGGGCTTATCTGCCGCTATAGGGCAATGTTCGCACAAACAAGTCATAAAAGATAAGGGGGTCAAAGGTCAGAATAGATAAGAGGGTCAAAGGTCTGATTTCAGGATTTTGGAGGCGGGACTTCCAGTTTTTGGGGGCGGGACTTCCGGTTTGGGGGGTGGGACTTCCGGTTTATAGGGGCGGGACTTCCGGTTTATAGGGTCATAAATCATTCCTTATCAGTCATTAATCAAAATCGAACATTTGCTGGGGTCTTATAACTACTTATCCCTTAAGGCATGTGCTGCTCCAGCTATATGTTGATATTCCCAGTTTATGACCGGCCAACTCTCGGTCACAAATGGTTTATGGTTGTGAGACGCTGGAACACTTCCTTCTCGGTGTTTGTGGACTCCAAGGTGTAATATTCGAGGCCATGAGGGTCAGGCAAGTGATGCAGTGTCCCCAGATGTTTAGGCTATCTCTAGTGTTCCCAGATGTTTAGTTTATCCCCCCCACAATGTTCATTACTCTCTGTGAACCTATTAAAAGGTCTAGCAAAAGAGAGGGGCTTCAGAATTGACGTGGAAACTCTCCCGGGCAGTCAGAACCTCTGGCTGTGTGACTTGTGATGTGAGTCCTCCGGCCGATACTCCTAAATAAACCATCAGTGTTTGACATCAGAACTCCTGCTCGTCCCGTGTCTCCTTCATGAGTCGGTGACTCCCACTGCGTTGCTACACAGAAGTTTCCCCCATAGGCAGTGCTGATCAAACATTAACACACACACACACACACACACACTCTCAATGAATGAACGACTGAGACTCATGTTTCTTTTTCCCACTCACTTTATTCATTGTTTTTGGTTCCATTAGTAATAAAATCACAATAAAAAGGTACAACAGCGTGCTCTGAGGAATTACATCTGATCTGATCCTCTTCCTGGATAGTAATCCACATTTCAGTTCTCATTCACTTCCTGTTTCCCTTCTTTAACACTCAGGTAGCTTTCAGGCTGTGCACATTTAAAAACAGACAATATATTAAAGAAGAAATTATGTATATATATATTCCAGTGCACATAGTAAAATCACCCCTCTAAACCCTTCATTAGACACTTCTGTTATTTCACTAAAGGTGTTTCTAAATCTAATTGTTACATTTATAGATATAATTGCTCAATGACAGAATCTTATTCGTACGTCACATCAATTGCTGGACTAACCCTAACCTGTCTGCGTATACTAATAAAATCATCCTAATAAAACACTTTTCTGATCCTTTTTCTTCATCAAATATTAAGATGTTACATTTCTAAATATAATACATGTATTACTAAATAAAGTAATATATGTTTGGCTCATAGTAATAACACTCTAGTAAAGGTACAACAGTGTGCAACAACCTCTCCATTGGGAATGACTTCAGTCTGATAATAATTCACTTCTTTAAAACTCACAACGTCTCAAGTTAAGAAGTTTTGTGCTTCTTCGTGTTTTCATTTTTGATCTGCGCTTCATTTTATTCTTGGAAAAACAAATATATCAAATGAGCGTAGAGTTTTAGACGATGTTGCTGTGGATTGGGATCATTGAATAATACATCTATGTTTGGCTACACCGTCATCTGATGTGAGCGGTACTCGTATATGTCCTGAGGTTGCCAGCAGTGACAGGTAATACGTCTCATCTAATCTGGGTCTAATGACAGAGAGGTGATCTTTCACTGAATGATGTGTGTTGTGTAGGAGTTCCTCGTATCAGCTGATCCTGTGTGTTTCATTGGATGGGATGTTGTTGGTAATGCTGCTGTTTGCTTCACTTCTATTATTCCCCTAAAGATGTTACATATCTCAATCGTATTATCATTGGACTAAATAAAGTAATACAAGTTTTGCTCATAGTAATAAAATCATAATAAAAGTACAACAGCATGCTCTGAGGAATTACATCTGATCTGAACCTCTTCCTGGATAGTAATCCACATTTCAGTTCTCATTCACTTCCTGTTTCCCTTCTTTAACACTCAGCTAGCTTTCAGGCTGTGTACATTTAAAAACAGACAGTATATTAAAGAAGAAATTATATATATATATATATATATATATATATATATATATATATATACCAGTGCACATAGTAAAGTAACCCCTTTTGATTATTACCCCCACATCATAAAGAAGTTAAAGCTCAGAATAACTGGAGTCCTCAGGAATAATCTCAGATAATGTGCCGGCTCAGTTTCACAGCAACAAGACCTTCATTTCCACCGTCAGGAATCAGCTGAGAACACAGAGAAACTGCTGAGTCATGGTTTATACACTGCTGCTTTTGTGTTAATCAAGGAACTCTTTAAACATTGTGTTAATCAAGGAACTCTTTAAACATTGTGTTAATCAAGGAACTCATTAAACATTGTGTTAATCAAGGAACTCGTTAAACATTGTGTTAATCAAGGAACTCGTCAAACATTGTGTTAATCAAGGAACTCTTTAAACATTGTGTTAATTAAGGAACTCCTTAAACATTGTGTTAATTAAGGAACTCGTTAAACATTGTGTTAATTAAGGAACTCTTTAAACATTGTATTAATGAAGGAACTCGTTAAACATTGTGTTAATTAAGGAACTCTTTAAACATTGTATGAATTAAGGAACTCGTTAAACATTGTGTTAATTAAGGAACTCTTTAAACATTGTGTTAATTAAGTAACTCGTTAAACATTGTGTTGATCAAGGAACTCTTTAAACATTGTGTTAATTAAGGAACTCGTTAACAATTGTGTTAATCAAGGAACTCTTTAAACATTGTGTTAATCAGGGAACTCTTTAAACTTTGTGTTAATCAAGGAACTCGTTAAACATTGTGTTAATTAAGGAACTCTTTAAACATTGTATTAATTAAGGAACTCGTTAAACATTGTGTTAATTAAGGAACTCTATAAACATTGTGTTAATTAAGGAACTTTTTAACAATTGTGTTAATCAAGGAACTCTTTAAACATTGTGTTAATCAGGGAACTCTTTAAACATTGTGTTAATTAAGGAACTCGTTAAACATTGTATTAATTAAGGAACTCTTTAAACATTGTGTTAATTAAGGAACTCTTTAAACATTGTGTTAATTAAGGAACTTTTTAAACATTGTGTTAATTAAGGAACTCTTTAACCATTGTGTTAATCAAGGAACTCGTTAAACATTGTGTTAATTAAGGAACTCGTTAGGAAGAACAAATGAAGGTGCTGCCTACCATGCAAAGCTCTTCAGTTTCTCCATCCCATAGTGATGAGGGCCGCGTTCCCATCAGCGTATATAGCAGATCTGCGCCTCCTGCGAGCTCCCCCCCCACAGCTCTGTACGCAGACAGGAAGTTAGTTTCACAGACAGGAAGTGAGCTTCACAGACAGGAAGTTAGTTTCACAGACAGGACGTTAGCTTCACAGACAGGAAGTGAGTTTCACAGACAGGAAGTTAGTTCCACAGACAGGACGTTAGCTTCACAGACAGGAAGTTAGCCTCACAGACAGGAAGTGAGCTTTACAGACAGGAAGTTCGCTTCACAGACAGGAAGTTAGCTTCACAGACAGGAAGTTAGCTTCACAGACAGGAAGTTAGCTTCACAGACAGGAAGTTAGTTTAACTTCACACAGGTGTATTAGTACTCAGTGTGTTAGTACTATGTGTATTAGTACTCTGTGTATTAGTACTCTGTGACTTAGTACTCTGTGTATTAGTACTCTGTGTATTAGTACTCTGTGTCTCAGTACTCTGTGTCTTAGTACTCTGTGTGTCAGTATTCTGTGTATTAGTACTCTGTGTGTTAGTACTCTGTGTACTCTCTGTATTAGCACTCTGTGTATTAGCACTCTGTGTACTCTGTGTATTAGCACTCTGTGTATTAGCACTTGGTGTACTCTGTGTATTAGTACTCTGTGTACTCTGTGTATTAGCACTCTGTGTATTAGCACTCTGTGTATTAGTACTCTTAGTACTCTGTGTATTAGTACTCTGTGTATTAGTACTCTGTGTATTAGCACTATGTGTACTCTGTGTATTAGTACTCTGTGTACTCTGTGTATTAGTACTCTGTGTATTAGTACTCTGTCTATTAGCACTCTGTGTACTCTGTGTATTAGTACTCTGTGTACTCTGTGTGTTAGTACTCTGTGTACTATGTGTATTAGTACTCTGTGTATTAGCACTCTGTGTATTATCACTCTGTGTACTCTGTGTATTAGCACTATGTGTACTCTGTGTATTAATACTCTGTGTACTCTGTGTATTAGTACTATGTGTACTCTGTGTATTAGTACTCTGTGTATTAGTACTCTGTGTACTCTGTGTATTACTACTATGTGTATTAGTACTCTGTGTATTAGTACTCGGTGTATTAGCAATCTGTGTATTAGTACTCTGTGTACTTTGTGTATTAGTACTCGGTGTATTAGCACTCTGTGTTCTCTGTGTATTAGTTATCTGTGTACTCTGTGTACTCTGTGTATTAGCACTCTGTGTATTAGCACTTGGTGTACTCTGTGTATTAGTACTCTGTGTACTCTGTGTATTAGTACTCTGTGTATTAGTACTCGGTGTATTAGCACTCTGTGTATTAGTACTCTGTGTACTCTGTGTATTAGTACTCGGTGTATTAGCACTCTGTGTACTCTGTGTATTAGTACTCTGTCTACTCTGTGTATTAGTACTCGGTGTATTAGCACTCTGTGTTCTCTGTGTATTAGTTATCTGTGTACTCTGTGTATCAGTGCTCTTTGTACTATGTGTATTAATACTCCGTGTACTCGGTGTATTAGCTGTTTGGCTCTATGAAACCTGATGTACTTATATGATTCTGTTTTCTTCAAGGTTGTGTCTTCCTGGTCGAATGTACTTATTGTAAGTCGCTTTGGATAAAAGCGTCAGCTAAATGCAATGTAATGTAATGTAATAATGTAATGTAATTAGCACTCTGTGTACTCTGTGTATTAGTACTCTGTGTACTCTGTGTATTAGTACTCTGTGTATTAGTACTCTGTGTACTCTGTGTATTAGTACTCTGTGTATTAGCACTCTGTGTATTAGTACTCTGTGTACTCTGTGTATTAGTACTCTGTGTATTAGTACTCTGTGTACTCTGTGTATTAGTACTCTGTGTATTAGTACTCTGTGTATTAGTACTCGGTGTATTAGTACTCTGTGTACTCTGTGTATTAGTACTCTGTGTACTCTGTGTATTAGTACTCTGTGTATTCGCACTATGTGTACTCTGTGTATTAGTACTCTGTGTATTAGTACTCTGTGTATTAGTACTCGGTGTATTAGCACTCTGTGTACTCTGTGTATTAGTACTCTGTGTATTAGCACTCTGTGTACTCTGTGTATTAGTACTCGGTGTATTAGCACTCTGTGTACTCGGTGTATTAGCACTCTGTGTACTCTGTGTATTAGTACTCTGTGTACTCTGTGTATTGGTACTCTGTGTACTCTGTGTATTAGCATTCTGTGTACTCTGTGTATTAGTACTCGGTGTACTATGTGTATTAGTACTCTGTGTACTCGGTGTATTAGTACTCTGTGTACTCTGTGTATTAGTACTCTCTGTATTAGTACTCGGTGTATTAGTACTCTGTGTACTCTGTGTATTAGTACTCTGTGTATTAGTACTCTGTGTACTCTGTGTATTAGCACTCTGTGTACTCTGTGTATTAGTACTATGTGTACTCTGTGTATTATTACTCTGTGTATTAGCACTCTGTGTACTCTGTGTATTAGTACTCTGTGTACTCTGTGTATTAGTACTCTGTGTATTAGCACTCTGTGTACTCGGTTTATTAGCACTCTGTGTACTCTGTGTATTAGTACTCTGTGTACTCTGTGTATTAGTACTCGGTGTACTCTGTGTATTAGCATTCTGTGTACTCTGTGTATTAGTACTCGGTGTACTATGTGTATTAGTACTCGGTGTACTATGTGTATTAGTACTCTGTGTACTCTGTGTATTAGTACTCTGTGTACTCGGTGTATTAGTACTCTGTGTACTCGGTGTATTAGTACTCTGTGTACTCTGTGTATTAGTACTCGGTGTATTAGTACTCTGTGTACTCTGTGTATTAGTACTCTGTGTATTAGTACTATGTGTACTCTGTGTATTAGTACTCTTTGTACTCTGTGTATTAGCATTCTGTGTACTATGTGTATTAGTACTCGGTGTACTATGTGTATTAGTACTCTGTGTGCTCGGTGTATTAGTA